GTCAGTTGTGCAGAGGCGGGCTAGTTAACCAATTGCACAACCAGCAACAGCAGCAGCAACAACAACAACAACAACAGACAGCAAAAATAATATTTAAAAAAAATATATAAAAATAAAAATAAAAACTACTTTGCGACATTTCAGTGTTCGGCTAAGCCAAAATTAAAAGTTCGTCTGCTTAAACGCGGCTATTTGTTTGCTCGGACCGCGGACTGATCAATAAAGCCAGCCAGCCAGCCAGCCGGACGGACGGACGGCGAGCAGGTGAGCGCTGGGCCAACAGACTCTAAGTGGGTTAGTTCATTGTTGGCTCTTTGATAAGAGCAGAGCGAGACGGACAGTGGGAGAGTGAGCGAGCGAGCGTGCGAGCGAGAGGGAGAGGGCGAGTTGGAGGGAGTGCTCGAATCGCTGACGCTTGCTCAAGTCGCTGCTGCGTCAAGGTCGGCTATTGTAAAAGAAAGCGCCAGCGCTTGGCCTTGAACACGAAAATATATATGTTAAAGCGAATCAGCCGAGGGAGGGCAACAGCTGAAGACCAATGAAGAAGTGCCAGTTCACAAAATTGTGGCTACATTTGATGCTGCCCGACAGACAGACAGCGAGAGAGAGAGAGAGAGAGAGAGGGAGTGAAAGAGAGCGAGAGAGCGATGTATGCAGAAATCGTGCGACTCGCGAGTTTTGAGTGTTTGCAGCGCTCTTCTTATGCCACGATGACATATTGAGTGGAGGAAAAGGGTATACTAGTTAGGGCACGATTGGGGCATAAAAATACCTAACTAAAATTTAGATTTAAATATTAAGTGACTATCGCTATGCATCCGGCTTCATCTGAGCTAGGTTTTTATACTAAATTTTACAATATTGATATCATTTTTTTATTTTAAAAAATTTAAGAAACGTAATTTTGGCTTTACATTTTCTTGGCTAGCATTTTAATAAAATCTTGCATTTGTTAAAAGTATACTCGATTAATATAGAATTGTAAACAAGTTTTTATCTATTTTAATACATTTACTCAAACATTATTATTATTATTATTTTTTTTTTCTTATATTTTAGTGATAATTATCATACCGTATAAAGCTATTATTTTAGGTATTCATATTATGTAGTATAATATGGCTATATATGTACTATATAGTTCATATATGTATTACACATCATCTAGAGAACTCAAATACAAAGCATTTTTCAACTCAGGGTATCTCGCAGCCGCGCACTCCTCTCATTAGAGCACTCTCACTGTTGCAAGGTGAGTGTTATTTTGGCTTGTTTTGCATAGAAATTAATGCTTAAACTACTCGTATCGCAACATTCGAGTGTCGCGCCATAAACTTTATGCTTGGGTAAGACAATGGCCCGGCCAGCGAAATATGCTTCGAACCAATTCATTTTGCGAAACTTGAGCAACAGCCAAAAAATAACAAGATATAAACAAAACGGCCCCAAGCATCTCGAAATGCTTTTGCAAAAAAACAAAAAATAAAACAAGAGGAGGAGGGGGGGAGTAGAAAGATATAAAACCAAAAGCCGACTTGTCGAACGTTGTGAAAAATTGGGGTTAAATGGGAAACCAATGGGGTTAATTTGCATGCCCATCCGCAAATTAGGGCAAAGTGCAACACAGAAACTGGAAAGGAAAACGTTGCAAGATACCTGAATTGAGTCACATATTGGCAAGATCGAAACAACTGGCAAATTGAGGAACAGTTTATGACTGGGCCAACCAGATGAGAGATCACGAAAAGTTGGTTAGGCCAAGCGCAGATCAAATATCGGGCTTTATGTCTAAATCATGTTGAGCATTTTAAGTTCCTATTGGAAAGCTTAGCAATCTAACCTCAAGTAGATGAAAGCATATTAGAATAAAATATATAATTAATGAATTTGATTATTTATATTTTAAAATAAATAAAAAAAAAAAATTAAATAGTAATTTTAAAAAATAAATTAAGTTTGTAGAAGAGCAGAGTGAAGCAAAATAGCTTGAGGATTATAAATATGCATTAGAGAAAATACAAGACGCTGGCTGCGAATTAAGAGAAACAACAAACTAATTGCTCAAGACAGATTAAAGACTACCATAATTAATATAAAAATTAATTAAAAGCAATAAATAATTCTAGGAACTGATTGCTGCCTCATTTCGATATACAAAACGATTCTCTATAGAGTAACTATAAAAAATCTGTTAAGGATTACACATTCTGTTAAATCCAGTGGCAGATCGGACTGAAAATTTTTTTCTTTGCACTTGTACTTACTGAGAATTATTAATATTCATATGACTTTGCTGACTACCAGATCAAACAGCTGTATATCTATATTCAGACGAGCAAAGTGTTACCAGAGCGAACAGCTGTTGTTCTATGCCTAATCAGTTATAGAATTATAAATTCTGACAGACGCTCGGACGCCTCGGATAAGGCAAGTGTCAAAGCAAAACATTGTCAAATATGCATATGTAAACCTAAAAAAGCGGATGTAGAATAGCAAAACAAACAATTTGTCTACACCTAAATCAATTCCGAATTTAAATTATTTATTTTGTTTTTTTTTAATTATAATTATTAACCTCAAATACTAAAGTTCATCTATTTTTGAATAGGCATTGATG